GAAAAGCTGTTATTTTGAACAGTGTGTGTTGTACGACACTTTACAGAAGTTATTAACAAAACCTGCAGAGACATTTCCCCCACGTGAGGAATTGAACAGCATGTTAATTTATGCACGAGAAGGGAACCACACAGGGCATGGCTGACTGCCAGAGATCTTCAAAAGCCTAAAGTCTTGCAAACACAGACTCTTTCAGAAGAACTGCCAAAGCCTCTGTGTCACCAGGAAACCCCATTCATCAGGAGGGCATCCCCCGAAACTACGTCATCCAAACGACAGATCAGCAGCCAATCAAAGGCGCTGGGATTCCCTGAAAAGCCAGCAACTGGGAAACTCCGCTCAGCTGTCACTAAAACGCAAGTAACAAGCAAAATCTTTTCATCTCATGCTGAACGGGTGCTGAACTGAGTTTAAGCAGTAAACATAAACCAAGTCTCTGCTTTTATGAGTTTTCTCAGGCTGAATTTAAAGAACTCGTAGAAAACGAGTATTAGAACTTTGGAACTTCATGCAACCTCCGTTAATCCTCATCCTTTCAACAGTATGTGTGCGTATGTATGTGTGTGTGTGTGTGTGTTTGTGTGTGTTTTCGTTAGTTTAGTTTAATGTAATCTAGAATAGCCAATAAACTGTTGTTTCATTATAAGAATTATTGTCTTGTGTCGTGAATTTTAAAGTTAAACTCTGCTCAGATCCAGCTACCTAGCTCGTAGTTTATAAATTATCATAAGCATGTATTAACCTGTGGACAGGGATAGTACAAATACTCAAATTGGTAAGATATACTGATTTTAACGTCTCGCTGGACGAACGGTAGATAAAGTATAAATTATCAAATTGGGAACCAGTTCAATCAGGTCGATATTGAATCTTCAGATTCGATTCCCCCCCTCTGAAAACCTGAGCTAAAATAAAAGAGTTAATTTTCCCTTACACTCTTTAGCAGCCGCACAGGCATTTAAGCTAAGCCCTTTACCTCAACTGCTAGCTGTTAGCATCTGACTAACACTTAGATAGGTGTGAGTGTGAAGTGTATCTTTCAAACCACTCCTCTCTCTCTCTCTCTATCCCCATCACTCCTGGTTTCACTTCCTGTTTATGCCATCACCTTCTCTTTGGATTCAGTTAGGTCGGTCCCTCCCCACATACTTTGGTTTTACTTGTGTTATTTTTATTTTGACTTTATTCTACCTCTCTTTGATTTTATTTTCATTAATTTACCTTTGTTTAGCTTGAATGTACCAATTCAGCTAAGTTGATTTTAATTAAATCTGAGACTTAATTGAATCAATTTATCTATTTTTCCTTTTAGTTTCCTACAGCTATTAGGACCTTTTCGTTTTACTTTACCTTATTTTAGTTTATTTGACCATCATCATCCTCCCTATTTGTATAGGATTACAGTAGTTTAAGCAACTGATGTTTCCTTAATGAGTTATACAGGTTATTAGTAGCCTAATCCCTGTTTCCTCTCTACTCCTCCTCACTCCTCAGTGCCAGGCCTAGTACATTGTTACTGTTCAACACAATGTAGGCCCAGATAGAACTAGGAACACTTCCCATTGTTTCTTTTTCATTTGACCTCCAGGTATTTGGTGTGTCCCTCCTAGCTTAGCTAACAGTCTAAACCTAGGTTTATGAGTCTATTGCAGCATCACCCACAAGTGACACCTGCTTAGCCATATCTCCTAGCAAAAAAAAAAAACTAAATAGGTAAAATCTTCCTTCTTCCTTTTCTTTTTTGATTTCATCTTATTTTATTTCAGTTTTGTCATAGTGACCAAACCC